AACGAGTCCGTGACGACGGGCTGACGTCGATGGACGTGCAACGAGTCCGTGACGACGGGCTGGCGTCGATGGACGTGCAACGAGTCCGTGACGACGAGCTGACGTCGACGGACGTGCAACGAGTCCGTGACGACGAGCTGACGTCGAAAGACGTGCAACGAGTCCGTGACGACGGGCTGACGTCGAAAGACGTGCAACGAGTCCGTGACGACGAGCTGACGTCGAAAGACGTGCAACGAGTCCGTGACGACGGGCTGACGTCGATGGACGTGCAACGAGTCCGCGACAACGAGCTGACGTCGAAAGACGTGCAACGAGTCCGTGACGACGGGCTGACGTCGATGGACGTGCAACGAGTCCGTGACGACGAGCTGACGTCGACGGACGTGCAACGAGTCCGTGACGACGGGCTGACGTCGATGGACGTGCAACGAGTCCGTGTCGACGGGCGCACGACGACCTGACGTCGATGGACGTGCAGTGAGTCCGTGTCGACGGGCGCACGACGACCTGACGTCGATGGACGTGCAACGAGTCCGTGACGACGGGCTGACGTCGGTGGACGTGCAACGAGTCCGTGACGACGGGCTGACGTCGATGGACGTGCAACGAGTCCGTGACGACGAGCTGACGTCGACGGACGTGCAACGAGTCCGTGACGACGGACTGACATCGACGGACGTGCAACGAGTCCGTGACGACGAGCTGACGTCGATGGACGTGCAAAGGAGCAGCGCCGATGATTCACACCTGTCCTGAGCCGTGAGAGTCATTGTCAGCCGCCGGTGACGCATCCGAGGGGCAGGAGAAATACTTGAGGTGGTGCGCATGCTCTTTGGTGGCTTGCTCAACCCATTGTTACTTGTTGAGGCGGGATGCGTAGCATGTTACGCATTTGGTAGGAATGTCGAGCTCATCGGCCGTATTCCATGTTTTTTCCAAGCTCACTCTGCGCCGTTACTATCAAAGCAAAGAGATCCCGGCAGCTTTAGCCGCAACCCGAGCAAGATGAATAAGACGAAATGGCGATACAAAGGCATCAGTCTCTGTCATCGTTGTCTGCCATCTCGACGGCCGTGCTGGAGCTTAAGTTTCCCGAAGAGCTCGTCGCACTACGATAAATCACCAGTGATTGGCACTTCCATTGGTGCATTTTCCGGCTATGACTTACCCGAAACGCTGCAGCCGTGGTCCCCTGAGAAGCCATTGTCTACCAGCCCAACGCTCCGTCAAACGGTCGATGACTATGCGAACACCGCAGGTGGTACGAAGTGTCAAACGGGGCAGAGAAGCATGTCTGCCTTTTCGGAGTTAATGAGGGCCAATGTTCTTTTCCCTGTGCGCGCGTGTGAACGGCCAGCGTGTCACCAAGGACAGAACAGCTCGCAGCTCCGACCGAACCGGCGCAACCGAATACCGACTGACTCTCAGAGTCATCTCCGATGAATGCCGAGTCGTTACGAACAGGCCAAAATTGGAAGTCGCCTTCCGTACATTTTGCTTTCTTCTCGTATCTTGGATTTCTCAGTTCGACCATAAAAAACCTTTGTGCCATAGAGAAGCCCTGCCAGCTTTCGTCAGCCGGTTGACAGCATCGATGACATTCAAAGCAGCTGCGTAAATAAATTCGCGCAACGCATGCACACCACCGTCCGCGTAGCACATGATACTTTAGGCCATTGTACGATACTGATGCGGTCAGCAGATCCCTACAGAAGAAAACAACTCTAGCGATGCTCTCTTACCCCAAGCTCTCACGTCGTTAAAACACAGACGATTTTCTGTCAAACTTGGTCAAGGTGGCAGCAAATTCCGCAGACGCCTTGCTTTCCCTTTAATGAGAGAGGTCTGGCAGCTCGTGTTTTTTTACCGTGATGCGTACTGACTTACGAACAAAACCAGGGACGCAGTCTTGGAAAGGGAGAAGAGCAAACGGTTGGCAAAGGGCCCCTGATGGTGAAAGCTCATCCCCCACAAAAAGGTTGCTGGCTATGGTCCATTTGATTTTGAGAGGACGCTATTTTCTGTGCTTCGTGTTCATATTTACCTTCTTAAACTGGACCAGAAACCAGAAAAATCAAAAGATGCAATTTCTGCATTTTGAAACCAGTAACCAGGCGAAGAGCCATGTGTTAGATAACCACGGATTAAATGGTCGGGGGTATTCATTTAACAATAGTTCGGCGGGCTATTTCTAAACTGAGAACACTGGAGTCTTTGCCGGATTTTTCCGGAATGTGCAGGGATATTGAGGACCACGTGAACGTCCATTGTGAACCGAACCGGGGTCACGCACTTATATTGACATTGCCAACGACGTTTGTCTGGGAAAGTTCAACCTTCGTTCAGAAATGAATAGTGACAAAGTTCCATATCGTAGTGTTAGCCATGCGCCTGCGAAGTCTAAGAAACAACAAACGACGCCCGGTGTTGCATTGTCGGCGGGTCGCCGTGCGAAGCCGGCCCGGAGACTTAACACGCGCCCGGGTGGCCGACTGGATACCCTTCGCTCGGGTGGGGGTCAATTTGACCTTTCCACCTGAGATCTCGGGAAGTAAGAAAGCTAGAAACACCAAATTTACAGGGTGTGTTGACCTGTACGTGACTCACTTAGGTGAATTTTTCAGGTTCTTAGGTCATGACCTTTGGGTCAAAAAAGGTCAAACAAGATCAAGTTCCAGGCTGGTCTCCAAAGGGCCCCAGAACCTAGATAACCATTTCTAAGCAAAAGGTCGCATGCTCAGCGAAGGTCAGTGACTCTTTCACCTTTTAAAGGTCAAGGTGACCAAAATCACGCAAGACTGCTTTGAGTTTTGCATTTGACTAAGCGACAAAGATGGCGCTAGGCAGTATGTTCCTAAAACAAAATGTTGACCTGGGTCATTTCAGGTCAATGACCTATTCGGACCTCTAAGAAGTCCATGGGAGATGTATAATGCGGTTCAACCTATTAATAAATTCGAAATGAACACCAAAAACTATCCAATACAGCAATCCCTAGAGTATCAAAACAGGTTGGTTTTGACCTTGGTGTGACCTTTATATCTGACCTTAGGTCAATGTAATTGGCTTATTCAACTGTTGTGTTGCCTAAGAAATCATCTCAGGGATGTATTTCATCTTATCAGATTGGACGATTCCCTAGAAATTGTCTTTGCTGAAACCATGACCTGACTTTGGCCTGCCATAGGTCAATGACCTTACAAGGTACACCTAAATTTTTAATGTCAAACGATCTTCTATTTAATTGTATACAGCTATGCAAAATATGGCGCAGCTACGCCGCGCGGTTCGGAAACCATTCTAGAAAAATCTTCGGGGGGTCAATTTGACCCCCACCTGAGCGCGTGTTAAACTAAACGGCGGTCAGCAAGCGAAAGAAACCGATAGTTTCTGAAAGAAATACATGCTAGTGCTTCAGATCATCAATTCGCACGTGTAAGGGGCAGTCTGGGAGCATGTTTTACCTGTGCGATTTTCAGTCTATGATAGAAAAGGATTAGCATTCACGGCAGTGCTAGCCGGCGCTGGAATCTGGAAGGGGAACCGAAACAAACATGTAAAGCTCGGTTTTCGTGTACCTTCATCTATTTGTCTGTTTAGAACATAACCTCCAAAGCATACGATTGAGATAATACCACAGTCTTATCTCTGAACGGTACCGAATGATTTACCACAGAATGATCTTCAAATGGCTATTTCATTTCAAACCCCTCCCCCATACAAATGTGGAACATTCCCTCTAAGTATTACATAAACATAGTTTCACGGAGGGACTGAGGTTAGATATTAGTATCACGAATGTACTAATTGTTCTGACCATCGTCCCGAGAGCTAACAGACCAAAACGCTAAATACATATCTACACATCAGACAAAGATAATAGCTCGAGCAATGGTGTCATATGTGTTACACCTGGGGCGTGAATTTCGCTGATATGCTCGCGCTCCGTTGCATTTATTCAGTACTTGAAATTAACTGATGCATTCTATGGAGTTGTTGTAAGCTAGCTACATTTCGCACATCACATACTTCATTGCCTTACAACGATATAATGAAAGGGCTGCTGTGAAAAAGTGAGGACCCCGCCTTCCATGGCTCGCAAGGACATGCTCTCTTTGTCGAGATATTCAGCTGCGTTTGTGGCTCAGGAAACCAATGTGGCATATACTTTTCCTGACCTATTTATCTCCATACTACCAGACTTTTTATCAAAATTTTTGAGAGAAAAATGGCTCCGCCTCTTTCATCATATGGGAGGACGGGCTTCCTTCCATGTAACAGGAAGTATTCCATTGTAGTGCTAATCCACAAACAGTTGTAAAAAGATAAGCGAACGATTTCCATTACTTTCCATTTATACTTAGATTCACAGTAAGTAATGCTACGAGGTGCAAGGAACTTATCCCTAGCATCGCATTGCATGCGTCGCTGCCAGGCATATCGTGAAGGCAGTCACCCGATCAAGTTGTGTCACTTTCGTTCAGGAAAGATCGGTGGTAGGAAGTCGATAGTTGTCACACAGATTTGAATCGTACACACAGGATATGGCTTAGGATGAAACAGTGTCTTTGAAAATATCGCAATACGAGTGCTGTTGTGGCCAATACGAGTGCTGTTGTGTTGTGTTGTGGCCTGTTGTGGCTGTAGGGCTGTAGAGGCTTAGGACTCCACAATGTCTTCCTTGCCTGTTCTTAAGGCTCTAAATATTTCACTTGGGGTCTGTGTTGAGAGCTGCTTCAACATCATGTGCTCTTGTGGTGTTTTTAGTTGATGCTTTTCGCCTTTAACTCTGGGTCTCGTCTCCGCTAAGAGACGGACACGGATCCGCGCGCGTCTCCGTGCGTGCGCCTCTGGCAGCTGGACTCCCGTTGCGGCTGGATCGCGGGACAGCAGACACATGTCCGCTGGATCGCGGGACAGCAGACACATGTCCGCTGAATCGCAGGACAGCAGACACATGTCCGCACCAATGCCGCACCAGATGTCTTAACAGCCTCCCACGTGTACCGTCGCACCATATCGTCACATAAAGCTGGCGGTGGTATCCCTAAGTTAGTCACGCAGCCAATGGGCCCATACTAAACCAGACGAGGCTCATCAGGGTCGGGCTGTTCTGCACACCGTAATGCCCGAAGTCTCAGAGATAGCGGTCGTCGTATCGGGTGCAATATTGAGCTCTTTAGACGTTTGTCCGCCGGCCGAATAAACGTGGTGTCGACCCGCTTCTGAGATTGCGTGTTTAGCTTAAAGATATGCCGGTTTAGTCTTGTCGCATACGTCACATGCAACGTTATCATTTGTCCAAGCCACACGGAGGCTAATCATCGGTTCAAAACATGCTAATAGAACCCGAGCGTTCTACCTCATATGCCTCGCTTGAGTCACTGCCGCGCACAACTGCACAAGCCTAACCACGCGCCCAGCATGCAAACAGAACGCTGGTCGCTTTGGAAACTTGGGTACTTTTGCTCACTAGAAAAATTGCATTGTTTCGGATCACACACCTATATTTAAGTGGTGGAAGGCTGCCATGGGTGGTGGAGACTGCAGTCTCTCTGCAATTTGTGCAACAACACTGGGAAGGGGGGTAGGGAGGAGGAAGGCAGGCCGCCGCTTCAGCGGGACACGGTCGGCGCCTCCTGGCTCGCCTTCGGCTCCTCCTGTCGGGCGCTGTGGCGCGACATGTACCATTTGTGACCAGCAACCAGCAGCACGGAGGAGACGACCAGCCCCATGCCAAGCCACGAGAAGAGACCGGGCACCGAGTCGAACCACACCACCTGCCACATGACGGCGAACAGGATGTCAGTGGTGCGCACCACTGACACGGGGCCGGCGTTCTCCAGCTGCGTCGCCTTGGTGAAGAACATCTGCACGAGGAAGCTGAGCAGGCCGATGGCCAGGACGAGTAGCCAGGGCAGCGGAGCAGGTGGGCAGCGACCGGTCGCCGAACAACAGCCAGACGGCCACCGACAGCGGGATGGCCGTCAGACAGAACACAGTCACGGTCGCCGAGTAGTGCACGTCCTTGAGCTGGCGCAGCGTCACGTACGTGTTGGACGTGAACACGTTGCTGGTGATGGCCAGGATGGGCCCGATGACGTTGTAGCTGGCGCTGGCGCCGCCGAACAGCATCGGCGGCCGCACGATCAGCACGATGCCGGCCACCGTGCCGACGATGGTGACGGCGTTGACCCACGTGAACGGCTCCTTCAGGAAGATGCGTGCGAACACGGCCACGAACACAGGCACGCTGAGCACGATCACGCTGGCGTCGGCCAGCGGCATCAGTCGCATCGCGTAGAACTTAGTGACGAGTCCGACGGTGCCCAGCACGGAACGGAGCATCAGCGTGCCTCGTTTCCCCCGCGGGAACACGCTCTGCCGCCGCGACAGCGCCACGGCGCCCGTCGGCACCAGGATGATGAGGAAGCGGAAGGCAGAAAGCGCCGCCGGGTCCACCGTCGTCACGCCCTTGACGAGCGCGTTGACGAGTGACGAGCAGAAGGCGGCCAGCAGCGCGTACAGCAGGCCCAGCTGCGCGGCGCAACGCCGGCGAGGCGCCGCGGCGCCCTCCTTGGGCAGCAGCTGCGTCGTCTCGGATGCGGCCGGCTTAGCAGCGTCGGACGACAAGCTGGCGCGGTCTGGCGTCGCAGGCAGCGTCGTGTTGGTGCGCCAGCCGGCCTCGCCGTCGCTGGCACTCTGCGGGCAGGCCAGGCCCGCCGCCGTCGATCGGGTGTGGGCCACAGGTCGACTCGCAAAGCTGCCGACATCTCCACAGCGCGCAATTCCGAGCGGGGCATCCACAAAGAAGAAAGATAATCGCTGAACCTTTTTGATAGTTACACCTGAATTATTCATTTATGGAACTGACCTGTACAGTGCAACATAGACCATTGATAGCCGTCTCTTTGCTGTTGGTCCATTCATGCTTGACCTAAATGGAGGTGCTATGGCGATAGCCGGAATTGGGCGTTGATGAACATATCTTACCGCGAACGTCATCCGTGCCTAAATATTTGAGTCAGTCGTTTGTTTTACACGCAATGCCGACGAACCGGCATACCCTCCGACGGGACTCGTCAGGCTCAGCTGTACTTCATCAGACTTCCCCATCGCTTATCAACACAATGGTGCAGCATGCACAAGGGCTCCGTGCATGAGCCTTTGCGATCCGCGAATGTGTACATTGTTTATCCATACTAGTGCATAAGGGTGCGCAGCGGACATGCCGCTGTGGTCTAAAGCATACTCGGCTGGTTTTTAACCAGTCAGACGCCTTTTGCGAAGTGGGGTGAGCGAGACAATGACACGTCGTGGTCATGATCAGGGTAAAACCTAAACGTGAGCGAATGAAGCCTGTTACCTTTTGGAACCCGTACGGAATTACCATGCGTTATAAGAAGTGTTGCTATCACATTCTTCCTATCATGCTATCATATATATATATATATATATATATATATATATATATATATATATATATTCATACCTATGTGTAAATATAGACATATATGTATATATATATATATATATATATATATATATATATATATATATATATGTCTATATATTGAAGTAAGACGGATTGCCATTTTCATCTTCATACATGTAAGAAACACTCATAATGAGAACATCACAAAGACACAACATACGTTATAGGAAGCATACTAGGTGGTGTAAGAAGCATACATTGTAAGAAGCACCAAGGTAAGAAGCATACATTGGTGTGACCACAACGACACTCTCACGACGCCTGACAATGCACTTACGTGACGGGGCACCTCTGGACCACATGCGACAGGAACACGACATGACATTGACACGACAACAACTGACAGACAGCACTGACATTTTACGGACTTGCAGTGACAGAAGACGCCCTCAAATTTGGGAAAGCATATATATATATATATATATATATATATATATATATATATGTACGGCCTCCATATGCGCTACTTCCCTCAGCTTGGTAAACGGAGTTGGGCTGATCCTTAGCACGCGCTCGGGTGTGGGTCAAATTGACCGCCCCGAAGGCTTTTCAAGAATAGGTTCCGTAAGGCACGGCCTAGCCGCGCTAAATTTTGCATAGCTGTAGACAATTAAATAGCGGATCGTTTAGTGAAAAAGATAAGATGTACCTTGTAAGGTAGCTGACCTATGGCAGGTCAAAGTCCGCCATGGTTTCAGCGAAGTCAATTTCTAGGGAATCGTTCAATCTGATGCAACAGTGGAGTGTAAGACGAAGCCACACATCTCTGAAATGCTTTCTTAGACAACACAACATTCGAATAAGCAAATTGCATTGATCAAAGGTCAGGTATAAAGGTCGGACCAAGGTCAAAAGCAACCTGTTTTATTACTTTAGGGCTTGCTGTATCGGATGGTTTCTGGTGCCCATTTCGAACGTAACGATAGCCCGCGCCGCATTCTACATCTTCCATGGACTTCTTGGAGGTCTGAGTACGTCATTAACCTGAAATGACCCAGGTCAACGTCTGTTTTTCGGGAGCATGCTGCCTAGCGTAAACTTTGTCGCCTATTCAGATGCAAAACTCAAGGCAGTCTTGCATAATTTTGATCACCATGACCTTCGAAAGGTCGAACAAGGGCACTGACCTTTAATGAGCCTGCGACATTTTGCTTAGAAACAGTTATCTAGGTTTTGGGAGCACCTTAGAGACCAGCCTGAAATTTGACCTTCTTTGACCTTATCTTGATCTTGATCGGCTTGATCCGAAGGTCATAACCTAGGAACCTTGAACTTTTGACCTAAGTGAGTTAACGTACAGGTTAACATACCCTATGAATTTAATGTCTATAGCTTTCATAGTTCTCGAGATCTCACGGGGTCAAATTGACTCCCACCCCACCCGAGCGAAGGGCATCAAGCCGGCCACCCGGGGGCGTGTTAATTTAAGTAAGAAAGGTCATTACCTCCTAGTTCTCGGGCATGATGAGTTAGGTCTTCATATGCTGAATATAATGCATCTAAATATTCCGTTAAATGATTATTTTAAATGACCACAAGTTAGATTTTCCCTTCATTATTCTTTAAATGAACTTATCGAGCAAGCATTGGTTGCATTGAGGAAATTTGGCCTTAGCACCTGTTCTTATGGTTACGAGTGACGTATTGGGGCCCAATTCCAAAAAAGGTCACACTGGTGCTTCCCCGGCGCGTTACTAGGGCACCCGCGGGTTGGCCAGTGTGCGGATTGCTTAACGATTTAAATGCGGTGCGCTTGTCGTAGACTATACGTAGACTACATACGTATACGTAAACTATACACTAATACGCTGTAGACTTAATTTCACGTCTTTACCCGCTCCGAAGAGATCTGAAGTCGACCCTTGAAACGTCCAAAAGCGGGCGGTCTTGAGCACGATTGCATGTGAGAGTCTGCAGTGCACAAAGCGACCTACACTTTTGCCAAGCTGATTGCCCGTGTTTCTCTTCGGCAGGATAGTTCGTCTCGTTTAGGTGCGACATGTGGGAGCCGGTGTGCGAGCCCATGTCCGGCCCGCGGCCGCGGTGCTCAGCTTTTTTCTATTTTGACAATTTTACGTTTCGTATAATTCTCGTTAATTTACGTAAATTTAAATTTAAATACGTTAACTTTACGTTCAATTTTGCGTTTGTTAATCAAACCGTGAGGCCAAATTATGCTGAGATCGTAACGTTGCATAAAAACGCTGCCTGTTCAAACATCCTGCATTTCAGGTCTTGATAAACATGTTGGTAGAATTTTTAAAGCATTTCACTACTTGTTCCCCCAAAAATTACTGGCCGCGCGATCGGTGGCTTTAAGATGTTAAACCGCTCACAGGATCAATGATCGGGTTGGCCCGGGCCCAGTCGGCTGTTGAAGTCAAGATTTCCAGTTAGCTGATGTCAAAACTTACTTGGCTTGCGGTCACACCACAGTATCAGTGTTCAAATAGTGGATGATTCCTTACGTCAGCTGTGCACGTACACACACCTACACTTGATGTGCCACGCAGGCTTCAGCCGCACCAGGCACCTCTTCTCACACAGTAGAAGGCCCCAGCGTACCTCGCGTGGCCCCAGTCTGTATGCGCCGCCACGCTCTCCTACCTGCGGCTCGGCGTCCACCAGGAGCGCCGTTTCGTCCGAGACGAGCCCCATTTCGACGTTGGTGGAAGGGCGCCGGGCTACAAGTGCGCCGAGGCCGGGGACGACGCGGCCTCTGTCGGGCCGGTCTCGCCGAGGCGTGCCGTGTGGCACGCGTCCTCGGCCAGCCTGCAGGGCTCTGTTTACGCTGGAGCACGAGGTCGACAGACGGTGGCGTGGAGCGCCGCGCAGGGGCCCCGGTCATGTGCAGCCCTGCTACCAAGGGCAAAACCGGCTGGCTCGCGGCTGGTCTTCGTCAAAGTCAGCGGCGCGGCGCTCGCGAGACGGCAGCAGGGGTAAAGAGTGTTGTCGGCGCTGCGGCCCAGTGTCGCCTGCCGTGCCACACCCGCGTCTGACACCTACTGCCCTGGCTGCCATGTCACACCCGTGACTTGCCCTGCCTGCCATGTCACGCTTGTGCCTCACTAGCCACGGTAGCCCGTGTGAGATGCACCAGGATGATGATTAGTGCCGCCTGTCGAACCGCGCTATCACCTGATCGTGCATCGGCACGCAACGTTCGTGTCGTATGCCAGCTGCCGTTACACGCCCGAGCCTAACTCGTAGTGCTGTAAGCTAGCACTCTAGCCTAGCTCTTAGTGTGCCTAGTGCCTAGGATGTGCCGAGTTTCGCCTGCCGTGTCACGCCCCTACCCCGCGCTGCTTTCCGCGCCACGCTGCGCCCATTTCCACCTGCCGTGCCACGCTCACGCCTAGCTTCTCCTGTCATACCACGACCGCACCTGCCTATGTCTTCCGTGCAGCCACGCTGTGCCCAGTGTGTCTGTTGTGCCGAGCTCTTGCGCAGCCCAACTGCAGTACCACGCTGTGCCCAGTGTGTCTGCTGTGCCGAGCTCTTGCTCAGCCCAGCTGCAGTACCACGCGGTGCCTGGCTGTGTCTTCCGTGCAGCCACGCTGTGCCCAGTGTATGTGCTGTGCCGAGCTCTTGCGCAGCCCAGCTGCAGTACCACGCGGTGCCCGGCTGTGCCTTCCGTGCAGCCACGCTGTGCCCAGTGTGTCTGCTGTGCCGAGCTCTTGCGCAGCCAAGGTGCAGTACCACGCGGTGCCTGGCTGTGCTTTCCGTGCAGCCACGCTGTGCCCAGTGTGTCTGCTGTGCCGCGCTCTTGCGCAGCCCAGCTGCAGTACCGCGCTGTGCCCAGTGTGTCTACTGTGCCGAGCTCTTGTGCAGCCCAGCTGCAGTACCACGCTGTGCCCAGTGTGTCTGCTGTGCCGAGCTCTTGCGCAGCCCAGCTGCAGTACCACGAGGTGCCTGGATCTGGCTGTCGTACCCGATTGTGCCGTTTGCACAGTATAAATGCTGCTAAACGGCCTCGCCAGACAGACCACAAGCGACTGTGCGGTTTAGCAACGCGACAGTTAAATTGGACATGGACCCATAACTTGTTTGCCATCAATTGGACATCTTCATCAGCCTTTATAATACTTATGCATTGTATATTGAATACATGATCGGCAATAGTCAGATAGCCATCATCCGCGTGCACACTGGTTTCAACACACAAACCGACGCCGATTTATCACATTATTACTTTCTTTGTACATTGTATGTTTCCGCCTATGGCAATCCAAGGCTTTCAGTACACGAGGAATTTCAATACATTCCTTTGAATGATGTGAAAGGGTATTTAAGATGTTGGATGCTTAAGATATGTGAGGGTTGAAAATTGATTTCCTTCAAGCTAAGTAGCAAATTATCTGCTAATACATGACTGATGACTCATGGATGCTACTACTTTGCAACACTCATGCACTGCACAATGCATTGCATTGCGAAGCGGCATGCATTCTGGTCGGAATGGCTTGGAGATCAGATGGAGGAGGCCAGAGGGAGGCGGGAGGCAGAGTTCCGCTGACCCTCCTCGCCATCGAAGGAATTTCACATTTTTCATGTAAATAGTAAGTTAGAGCCAGAAACAGGTATATCATGGTGGTACAAATCAAAAGAAGGTAATCGTTACATTTTCCTGGAGCATCTAGATCGTTACAGATCGTTCCAAGGTGCTGGTTCTGATAATCAGTGCATCTGTCAGGCATAGAGACGAAGCCAGACTCCTGGCTTCCAAGACGAATTCCAAGTACAGGCAATGATATGAAGCCGATGTCGAGGCCGAACTCGCTGGCGTTGAAGTCCACAGCTGTAAAATCAGAGCCCAAGCCAATGTTTGTGTTTTGAATTTTGACGCAAAATCTGAAATTACTAGTTTCGAATTTTGTACACGCGAGGCCGAAACCGAAGCCGAGTTCAACGGCTTCAAACATTTGAACATGAAGGAAAGCCAACCAATCGGCCACAATCACGAGGCTGGAAGCGGGCCCGAATCTTATGCATTATGTTCTTTTGTGAAAACAAAACCATTCTCGCCTCTGCCATAACGGCATTGGACCAAAATATCATCACGCTTTTACGGGGTGATTAGGATGAGGCGCTGGCGCGGGCAGACAATTTTTGGGATATCATCATCGTCTCGTGTATGAGTATGTACTCTATATGTCGGGCAGTAGTTCGCCGGCCATCGTCATGTGGTAATGCCCCGGAGAATGATCGGCTGGGTTTCGGCTTTCCCATATATATGTGTTGCAGCCTCAAAAAGTTGTGTGGTGTATGGGGTACCAGGAATAACACAATTTTTGTGAAGCAAAGCTGGAAATGCAGTGACCAAAGCACCGTAGCAAAGCGGAATCCAGAAGTTTAGGATGGCATGAAACCAAAGTGATAGTCGTATTTTAAAAACTTGTTCGAAGCTGAAGGCAAAATCATCTGTGAAAATGACACCAAGCCGAAGCAAAACTCAAAACCAGCGGTTTTAAACAGCTTAAAGCCGAAGACTAACCTAAAATCTCGAAAAGCATCACTGATTCGGGGAGCTGAAGCCAGGGCCAGCTTCATTATGCCATTTCAAAAGTTGTGAACACTGGGCATTGATACCTTCCGTGAAGACACGTGCCTGCTTCCCAATGCTGCTTCCTGGTTCCCACTGCCGGTTCCTGGTTCCCGCTGCTCTGTCAATGAAGCGAGACCCTGGACACACGTCACAGAACCATTCCATGACGCCATCAAACAATGACGTAATGGGGCCTATTTTTACAAACTTTGAAGTTGTGCTGCTTGGCTTCGTTTTTGAACCTTGAAAGCTCACCAATAGTTACAGGTAATCTTTGTCCATCATATTTGATGCCTATCTCAATATCTTCAAATGTGGACATTCCCTCTAATGCCTTACGGCTTCATCGGACTAAGCTGAGCTCTAGACTGAGTGGCGGGAAAGTGCGTGTGCCTGACATGCAGCAAAACATGTTTTGTCTGTTAGCCAACCATTTCGGATTGGCGCAGATCTTCTTCTGAAAAGTCGCGTGGTGCATGTTGTATCAGCTCTGTGCATGGCTACAAGCGGTTTGTTGTATCAGTGATGCAGCGCAACGGTCATGATGCCATTGACGGATTGACTCGCAGTCACTGACTGGCATTGACGTCGTGGCTACTTGTCATTCAAGTAACAAGTCAGCATTTACCATGCCTTTTACGCCCATCAGGAGGCACATAAAAGGAGCAGGCATGCCACACAACAATGATGTCAGTAACTGCACCATATCGCCATAAAGGTCTAGTCAACTCCCTATGCCATATCAAAGGCTATACTATATCAAAAAATTGATGACATTTTTGCTTTGGTAATGTTGATAAGCTGACTAGGTAATGTTGATAAAGGTCAGTTGCCTTAGGAAGATGCAAAACTAACTGACACGCCTTGAATCACGTAAGCAGGGAGAAACAGCAGTGCGCGCAGTGGCCGGCTGAGTTTATCGCATGCCGTGATCAAATGAACTGGGCCTATGGGCGACCGGCAACATGCCCAGGAATGCTACGATTTCTCAGAGGCTATCCAACACATGCCGTGATCACATGAACTGGGCCTATGGGCGACCGGCAACATGTCCAGGAATACTACGAATTCTCAGAAGCTATCCAACACAGGCCGTGATCAAATGAACTGGGCCTATGGGCGACCGGCAACATGCCCAGGAATACAACGATTTCTCAGAGGCTATCCAGCACATGCCGTGATCAAATGAACTGGGTCTATGGGCGACCGGCAAAGTGCCCAGAAATGCTAGGACTTCTCAGAGGCTATCCAACAAAAGCTCCGGAAGCAACAACAGGGCAAGAGCAATAGCGATTGGTCACGCTCTGTGGTCCGGCTGTCTCGAAACTAAGGATGGGATGGCCAAGAATCTCGCGCAGTTAGCTTTCACGTCATTACAACGCGGCATAATATGTAGTCTTGCTTCCTTAACACTATTGCCCCCTAATGCTCGGTATACAACTTACCACTGCCCTTAATATTCACTGCTGGGGTGATCGTAGAAAGAACAAAGTGTATGGCATATTTCGTGGAGTATGACTGCTCCTTTATGCGGTAGTATACAAGTGTAATTAAATCCTTTTCCGTTACACTAGACCAATGATGCACGACACACCCACACCCACACCCACACCCGCATACACAAACCACACCCCCCACCCCACCCACCCCACCCCACCCCCACCCCACCCCCTCCTCCCCCCCCCACACACGCACATGCAAACACACACGTATACTCACCCGTTATCATGTCCAAACAAGCGTACAATTCGTATGCCCTCTTTATTTAGCAACTCAAAGCCCTCGTTACGTTTTTAGCAACGTGCGAATACGAAACACCCCAAAATCCGGTGCAAACATTTTTGAATTACCCTAAATCGAATGCAAGGCTGTCTAGAACACAAAGAGGAGCCGGGCATCTGAATGAATCGTAAAAGGGACGGCGATCTGTTCGCCGGGCTTACGTGGACGGGGGCCAGGACTGCCGACTCCCGGGCGTCAGGTGCCCTGAAGCCCACCACAACCAGGTGCCGCACTAAGTCTCCGAATATATAGGCCTGTGCACCCCCCTCCGACGGAGCAGGCTGATTTGAGGGGCCGTCCATCATTGATTTTCTTGGCGCGAATGTCGTGTGCGTCAACATGTGCGCCAGGAATGCACACATGTTGGAGCGCACTTGTTCAATCGAGGGTGTAAGTTATAACCCGTTTTTTTTTTAGC